TGAGAAGTTTTTGTTCTCCCTTTCCACTTGACTGTGTTGTAAAGGGAGGGTTGAGACAACCTGCCAGGAGGTGAGAGTGATGATTTGTAATTACTGTTGACATCTTGGGTGATTTCTCACACAAGTGAGTAAACAGTCCTGTGACAAAATACTCTTAATCTCCTCCTTACTTTCCCCTTGTTTCCCCCAGGTTTGAACAAGTTTGACTCCAGTCTGTATACAGGTTCTGAAGGGTATTTATGAATGTGAGAAAAATTGCACTCTCTGTGGCGAACTTTTGTCCGAAAATATGACAAACAGTCACAGATTTTCCCTGGTTTTATTCAGGCTCTCTGGGGAGTGACATTAAACCCTTCCCTTTATGTAAACCAGTCCTGATTTGGGACTAGGTTACTCTGGGTGGTCTTCAAGGCTGTTGCCAGTAGTCTCTCAAGGAACCTCATGGAGTTAGATGAGTACTATGTTAAACTATAGATTTTAAGGCAAGGAAATGTTTGAAAACTGTCTGTCATGGTATCACACACAACACAGTCCAGAACTCTTCACCCCATCCCTCCTGCAGCAGAGGGAATTATTTTTCCACGTTAACACTGTGAAGTGCAATAATTTGTGTCTGAAATACAGCACATCTTCCTGCAACACACTAGCTCCAAATTGCATCAGTTAACCACTTTCTGAGTTGTTGCAGCAGTTTTAACCATCATTTTAAAAATAGTGTCCAGCATTTGACCTCACAAGGTGCTGGCAGTGTTCTTACTAAACCACAGTCTTTTAGAGTAGCGAGCAGTCCCTTTGCTAAATGATGCTGAGAAGCTCTGTACTGAACAGAATCTTTCCAGGGGGAGGACCACTGCACTGGGGTCCCCAGCTGGTGCAGGCTGACTGTATCAGAGCAATTCTGGTCAAGTATTCTCTGATTAAAACAGCCCAAGCTACACAACTGAGAAATCAATGTATTGTGATCTGAAGTACACTCCTGAGAAGTTTTTGAAGATTATAAACAAAACATTATGAAACAACGACAAAAAAGCCCAACACTTCCACTGAAATCTCCTCCCCCTGGATCCTTTAATATTCAAGAACATTCCTGCAAACTTCACAGAGGGTTTTATTGCTATCAAGCTGATTGGGCCCTATTTCTCACATCTCTTCCTACCAGGGACAAGGACAGCTGAGGCATTCAGGACAGTAGCATCAATCCAAACAGCAACAGGTAGTGAGGAGAACCATTGGTGCATTTCCTGTGAGGGATGTTGGCTTTTAGGCTGTGACATGAGGGATCTGAGTGGCAGTGCCTGTGCTGGCAGCATTGACATCCATTTCAGCCTTCACTTGGCCTGCTCAGCCCCTACCTGCTCGTGTGGCTTCACAAACTGCAGAGCATCCCCTTGAGGCATGTGCTAACCTAAAGTTAGCTTCTGGAGAGAGCCACCTGTGCCAGCCGTGCATGTATCTGGTGTAAAAGTGCTGACAGTGCCACCTGATTTGGAGGGGCTTCTTTGGAAAGCTCTTCTTTCCATGTTGGCAGATTTAGACACACTACAATTGGCCCTTTGCCCTGTGTAGCTCGTGACTTGTGTGGGGAAGGAAACATTGTTCCCAAATATCTGTAGACTTGCCATTTTTGAAAGTAGCTCATTAGCACCCATAGTTTTAAAAGGTTCAGGGTTTTTGTGTGGTTCCACCTGCAGATGTTTCTTGCTTGTGAGTCAGTGCAGAGCCTGAAAGCATTTCAGCCTCTGAAATGTATGTCCTGTGACGTGTGTATTCATAAGCTACTGTCTCATCTTATAGCTGTGTGGGAAAAAGGTTTCTGAGAGTCTAGATGAGCTATTTTGTTATGCTGCTAAAGAGGTCCTTGAATAATGGGCATTTGGGGGAGAAAACTGAACACTTTTTCACAATTTGTTTAACCACTGAAAGCAGCAGAGGGGCAGATCCCTTGATGGTGTATATAGCTTAGCCTGTGAGCAGCTATGCCAGTCCACACAAACTGCGGGTGGAGCCTTGCCTGTTTTGAATATTATCTCTCCTGATTTGTATGGTCTTTTGCAGTGTAATGACTGCTGATTTGGAGCTTTAATTGCATGTATTTGACAAAACCAGAAAGGGAGTGAGGTTTATTATTGTTTTGATACAGCCTCAAAAGGGAAATTTTTACTAGCATTTTAATACAGCCCTTTGTAAACACCTAGCTGGGTCCAATCCTTCTGCTGGTGGAGTCACTGACAGTTTCCTTTGGCTTTAGTAGGAGCTGGACTGGGTTCAGTGTAAGTGACACACTCTAGCATTACTGATAACAAGCTAATGTGTTTTATATATTGATGCTTTTTGCTGGACAGTGCATTGGCTTTTTATGATTTGGTGATATATAAAAATAAATTATTTGAAAATTCAATATTTCTGTGCCTGTTCTTTGAAGGTAAATTTAAATTGTTACAGTGTAAGATAAAAAATTGTTCTCAAAGTCAGTGGCAGCATCTTAGTTCATGTACTCATTCTCCAGCATCTCCATGCCACAGCTTGTATAGTCAAGGATTATGCCCAAGAATCCTAAGCTGCCTGAGCCCTTTTCGTACTGTGTTCCAGCAGTGAACCCTAATGCCAGAGAAGGCAAGGAGAAGATAGTCCTGTGTCAGCATGCAGCTGAAAGGCAGATTGTTAGCAAATATAGAGGGGGACCACAGGCTGCATGAGCAGGCAAATTTTCTAAATGCCAGCTGTTTAATTTTCTTCATGTAGCATCAGTCTTTCTCTTCAGAGGTGGGCCTAAAGGTTCCCAACAGCTATCCTGGAGCAAGGAATTAATAATAAACAAGTCCACACTATTATCTTAGAGGCTCCTGAGTTATTGCTTGAGGGCAGCTGGTAACACCCTTTTTATAGTCACAAGCTGCCAGCCCTTCTTCTTGCTTCAAAGTGGCAAAAGGCAGAAATGACAATTACAATTGCTGCTATGGGCTTCTCCTTCTCCATTAACTTGTTTTCAGACTGTCAGGGTTAGACAGATGAAGGGAGGGAGCGAGACTAGAAGGAGTCTTCGGGACTACCTTTTACCAGCACTAATGCTGAGTGCATCAAAAGGTTAATGTAAAAACATCTAGTGTAATCTCACTATGTCCTTTTCTATCTCCTCTAATCATATGGGTATGGATACACCTGCTAGTTCAATCAGGTGCTGTTGATGTGGTGGCCCTGCCTGAAGAGGGTGTTGGCAGCTGCCCTCCATCCATTCACACTGCAGGAATGTACTGAACACTGTCAAAACAACACTTACCCTTCTGCTGTGGTCTGCTGATTTCTGTTGTGCATTAAGTACATGCTCACTGCATAAGGGATATTAGACAGCACTTCTACCCTTAGGCCCTGCCATTAGTCCATTGTCATTCACATTCAGACTTCTTTGTACTCTCCTCTGGCCCTTTGACTCCTGCCACCCCAGACATTGCTCCTGGGAAGCCCACACCTACCCGCTGTCTGCTTCAAAAATTGCTGCAGGAGTCCTGCCCTGCGTCACTTCCTCTTTCAGGCCTTTATATGGCCATTTCCAAGCTGGATTAAATAATTGCTCAGAGGTGGTTAGCTGCAGGATTCTTGTCTTCTAAGGCAATTCACCAAGCTGTCACCAGTGTGAATTCAGGTGAGCATCTCCACCACTTACATTAAATTTCGTACTCCCTCTCCTTTTTATCTCTTTTGGGAAATTCTCAGGAGCTGTACTGAAGGGAAATATTACCCAGCACGGCCAGCAAGGGGATAATTACCCAACATAGCTCATTTTTGTAACTTTAGGGCTCCAAACTTACAAAGGTATCACACAGAAAAACACCACTGAACATGGAGAAATTACGTCTAGCTCACAGCAGTGAGGATAAAGCTGTGATGAATAAAGAACTGAATGAAGGGGCAGAGAAGGAAAAGGGTGTGTGTGAGTGTGTGTGGGGGGTGTTTAAGCAGGATAGGTGAATGGGAAAAAGACTTCAGTGTGAGAAGGAAATAAAACAGGTAAGTCCACAGTGAAATTGTGCAGCAGTAAACAAATGCAGGCCTGGGAGCTGGAATTTTTCCTCCTATTCCCAGACTTGTTATTGACCTACTTCATTCACTCCCACAGATGCATTGGCTTTCTTAGCTTCAGTTTCTTCACCTGTGAAATGCCATCACTCTCCCTGGAACGTGATTTAGCTTTTATTTATTTCAAATCTTCTGGCTTGGAGGCAAATTTAATTTGGCCTTTTGCAGCCTGCAACGTACCTGACCAACCACAGTAAACAATCCTGACCTGGGAGACCTTGTAAAGCCATGATGAGACCTCAACAGATAACTCAAGTGCTGCCTTTGCCCCTGCCCAAAACTGTCCCAACCAGAACTGATGTAAAAGCCAAGGATAGACATTCCTCTGCTTAATGTCCCTGACAGCCCAGATGTGATATCTATTGTCACTTACACTGATAAAATTGGGCCCCAGCAAGAGGAACATGGATATTTTCCATTTAAAGCAGATCCAGTGGAAAGGTGGTCCTATGTCCATCTCCTGGGGAGCTGTGCAGGAAGGTGGGCACAGATATGATCTTCACATCACCTCCACATTTTTCCTCACAGTGCTAAGAGGAGTTCCTGTTTTACCTTAACCATCAGCTTTTTTAAAGTTCCTGAAACCAGGTTGCTAACATACTGGAAGGGTTCACTCTACTGCTCTTGTTCTTGTCAGCTCAACCTTTGCATTTTTGCTGCAATGTGCCATGACTTGAAGTGAGGGAACTGTCCCTTCAAACAGGCTCCTGTTTGGAAGGGCCTAATTGCTACATGCTGGGAGGATGTGTCAGTCCAGAGCCAAAAAGGAACACCATTGGTTTGCCAAAGAGTTTCAATGTGAACATGAAAAAGATCATAAACATTAAAAGATGCAAACAGAAGTTGCAATGACTCCCTTGCCCTGTGCAGGTACCAATCTAAACCTTTCCATCAGAGATTCCCCAGCACACAAGTTTAAAACCTTTCTTTTTTATTACCTAAAGAGCGGGGCTGAGACAGTGGAGAGGGGAGGGAAGCAGTGGTGAAACTTACCCTCTGAGCTGGGGTACCTGAGTGGTTTGCACACAGAGCCCCTGAGCCAAATACTCCTGCAGCAACCTCTGCTTCCCACACCGGCACGTGTCAAATGCAATGGCTGTGGCTTTGACAGTTTAGGAGGAGCATGAGAACAGCCACTGAAATCACTTCTTTCTCTCTTGGGCTGCAATTTTTTTGACTTGTTCTCAATCAAGTTGCTGTCTACTCTCCTCTTGAGAGAAGGCTGCATATTGTGTTTCTGTTTATCATCTCCTGGTTAAAGTCCTTGGGCTTCTTGGGAGAAGATTGCTGGGGCAGAGGCATGGCCCTCAAAAAATTCTATTAAAAATAAAGCACCATTTTTTTCTTTTTGGTGGTTGTCATGGCAGGGGAATTCCAGCCAAGGTCTTGCAGGCATCACTTAATCTTCTCTGCAGTGTTTTCTTTCCCCCTTTTTTTCCTGCTTCCTTTTCTTCAGCTTTTACAGGTTCTGATGTCAATTTTATCATACCAAATAACTCCAAGCATGTATCAGGTTCTACTTGTGAAGAATCTAAGGCCTAAAAAGCTGTTTGTGCTGATTCTTTGAAGCTCACAAGCTTGCACTAATTTGCTCTCCTCTCAGATACCCAGAGCACCATTTCACATGATCTCCATTAATAGGATTCTCTTCAGAGACCTGCATAGTATGGGGGGCAATGGAGGGGTAAAGGGACTTGGCCTCCCACTCCTTCATAGCCAGTCCATATTGCTGTGATATAAGGCCCTAAATACCAAGGCATAAAAAGCATAAGCTCTGGCTGAATACAAGCATTATCATAAATCTTTTAAGTCAGCTCGTAGAGTTTATGGACTGAATCAAACCCAGAGGATTAAACTACCGATCTGATGATTAACCTGAGTTTCAATGCTGCTATTTTTTATGTTAGGCAAATAAACTATTTTCTGTTTAAATGAGTTTTTGTGTTGTTTTTCACTCCTGGGAGTTAAGTGAATCAGTAAGAAACAGCTTTTGCCCATGGAGTAAAAAAAAAATGCGTGAAGGGAAACGAGAAAGCCATTTGCTGGGATTTTACTAATAAACATTTCAGGTGTATAAATATAGCAACTTGTCAAGCCTTTGGCCACCAGAGAAGTGTTGGTGCAATAGTTCTGCTTTATTTTAACTTTTGCAGGATAGCTCTTAGGAGACTTAAGGAGAAAGGTGGTTTGATATATAAAGCCTTGACCTGAGACTCAGGAGACTTTTCTTCAGAGCTTGCTGCTGCCTGCACAGATCAATCTGTTTCTCTCTCTACTTTTGCTCCTCATACCAGCAGTTCATAAAATATGGGGGACAAAACTGAGATACTTGTTTGCTGTTCAGGGTGATGGAGCATGAGTTTGGTGAGAACTCAAGGCACTAGTAATGACTGTTCATTGATGTGGAAAAACAAAGAAAGAAGAAAAAAGGAGAAGTGGCTGCTGGATGATGCACAACAGGGGTGATTTTCTTGCTCTTTGAGGTGGATGATCATGTGTTCCTTGCATGTGGCTGGAGTAAACTGGGAGCTTTGCACTGACTCATGATGCTTAACAGTGTCAGGCTGAAGGACATTGCTACTGCTTCACAAACCAAGTCCAACATCTCTGAGCAACGTGTCTTATATGAAGAAAGAAGATAACAAGTCGGGATTGAAATTCCTCCAGGACTTTGACATCTTGCTTCATGCTGGTGTAGCAGAGACTCACAGCAAGGATCAGCACTGCACAAAATGAGAGCCACAGGAGCACAGGCAATCCAGATGATGACCTGTCATCTACTGAATGGTGATGAGGAGAAAAAAAAGAAAGCAGCATTATTTTAGTGTCATCTTAAACACTTCCCAAATTTGGTCCCCTGCTGATGCATTTGTACCAGTTTTCTGGGAACAGCAGGGTGCACAGGGCTCTGGTTGTGAATACTTCCATACACATCAGTTAAGCAATGGTGAGTCACACCTCCTGATAGAGGGTAGTGAGTATAAAATATATCATCTAATGGAGCACTTAAAAGGTTTAATTACATACAATAGGAACAGGATTACCATAGTTAATGTGTGATCTCAAGTAGCCCTCCAGCAATTAGTTTTTATACTTTTACACTAAGTGTTAAGTTGAATACTAGGAGAATATGAAGCTACTTCATCCAATATTTAATGATCACAAATGCTCCATAAAAGAGGCAAGATGTAGATTTCCATCCTTTTCCGTGGTAACTCAGCTTGTTTGGGACTCCTGCTAATTATGGTAAGAACTGAAACGTGGCTCCATTAACCAAGGGGTTAGAAAATGTTTAGAAAGCTCTGGCAGTTTTAACCACTCTCTAAGTGCTACGTGTGCTAATTACACTGGAACATCCTCTGCACTTGCTCTAAGGCAGGAACAACCTGTAAACATTTTTCTTGCCTTCAAAACAGAGTTCAAGATGGCTTAAAGCACCCTGGGTCAGGCACAGCACACATGTGGAAATCAGAGGGCTACATTTAGCTTGCTGACATCTGTGCCCCAATCCTTGCACGTGTTTATCCATCCGTGTGCCTCAGGGATCCAGTTTGATTCAGATCTGGCTGCTCTGTTTGACTTCATGGCCATTGCACAGTCTGTACTATTTTATAAAGCACTTAGAGTATTAAACACGCAGTACAAAGCCAAATTCACGCCTGAATAAAACCCATAGTGTGCAGCTATTTTCCTGCCATATGCACATAATCAATAAGGAGATAAAAATGTGGAGTGTATTATTATGGGTAAAGGGCCAACATTAGCTGTAACATATTTAAATTAGCTTCTACTCCGAGCCCTGGAATACACACCAGTCAATTAAACTGTCATACAGATGTACAGAGAGGAAGGTAAAAGTCATAAAACCAAGCAGGAAACACATAATAATGTATCAAAAAGTGCATGGGGAAAAGGTAAAATGTTAATAGGCAGTCATTTTACAGCTAACCAGAAACCAAATCAATGTCCCATTAAAATCTGAGTGAATTATTTGCAGCAAATAATTTATTCACTTGAATTTAGCCCTTCTTTCTGTTTGCAAATTATCCATGAGCAGAATTCTGTTTTTATGAATTTGTTTATTTGGCATTATTCTATGAATGGTTGATATGAAGGTGTTTAGCCAGGGAATTGCTCACCACTTTCTGCATTTGCAGAGATTTGTGAGCTGGAAGTTGGTATTTCCCTTGTGTGATTTCTCACACCACAGGCTACAGTTGTCCACTGGGTGCCCACCTGCCTTTCACAGTGAGGGACTTGGCTGACGAGCACATGTGGGAGCAGTGAAACCTTTCTGTGAAAGCTGAGCAGCTTTTCACATCAGCCCTTGTCTATGAATTTCTTATAACCTTTTTCAACCTTGCAAAAGTTATTTCTGGGTGACCTCAAATGCAAACTTGAGTTTTCCAATCCGCAAAATTAGGATATATATCCAGTCCATGAACAGAAAAAAAAGTAATGTGCAAAAATAATTCCACTCACAGAATAGAGATAAGCTATGCTCACAACAGCTTCAGCACATCACTACAGTTATGTGTTGAAATTTAAGTTTGTTTTTCTAGATTACAAGTAGAAATTTAATGCTTAAATTTGTTAGTTAAATTGCTTGTTGGAAGAGCACGCACAGCCACAGGCGCGTGCCCAGTCTCATCTGAGAAAAGCACTGGACCCAGACACAGGAAGTTTTGTTTCAGTTTCTGCCTTGGACACACAGTTCCACTCTCCCCTGAAGAATATTTGATCTTTGCTTTTCCACCTGTCTCTCTCCTGCCTATAGCACCTTCTTTCTAGCCCAATAACTGCCTTAGCTGATGCTTCCACTGTCATGAGCACACAAACCCTTTTCCCAGACAACAGTAATAGCTAGGGGATATGGGGACATCTGTCTGGGAGGCTTTTTGGCTTCCCAACACTATAGGTCTGTGTGTGTATATATACATGTATATATATGTACCCCTCTCCCCTCACTGCATTGCATATAGCAGGGGCTGGATTTTGGCCAGGGCCTGTAGAAATTATCACCATCATAAGAAATCCAGATACACACATTTGCTTCAGGGTCTGTCAGGCTGCCTGGCCTCGAACAAAAAAAAAAAAAAAGAAAAACCACATTATTTTTATTATTTCTACCCTGCTGCCAGCATATAAATGAATTGTCTCTTCCCCACACACAAAACTCAGCAGGGAGAACTATTGTTTCGCTTGGGGTGCTTTCCTTGCATATCTTAGTGAAAAACCTGTACCTATTCTATTGCCATAAAATATATTAATTATATTTAAATTAAAAATAGCTTCAGGGATTTCATTTTTGTTTCCACTATTTGTCTCACTAGACATCTTGTTTAAAATTGCACCAGACCTCATCAGCACCTTGTGCTGCTTATGCTGAGAAGAAAAAGCAACAACCACTGACAGCACGAAATGCTGTGTACACGGAGGGTGTATTTGCACAGTGCATCCCAGCAGCCACAAAAGCAAACTCAGGTTAATGCTATGGATGGCTCACAGTTATAATGTGAAAATTCAACTTACCCACTACGTAGTCACAGCAGGAAATGGCTAGAAAACAGAATGAAAATGTTCTTACACGCCTGGAAAGGTCTCTTGGCAGCAGGTGAACATAAAAGCAAGCACCAAGTGGTGTCTCTGAAATTGGCTGTCACTTTATAGATGCTGAGCCTCCTCTTACAACACTTTTGGCTCTGGATGAGGATCTATCCACTCCATGCAAACATGCAGATGCAGGTGCACTTCAGGAAAGTGAGGAAAAATTATTGTATGGAAGAGTTCAGAGGCAGAGTTTGCTGCTGTTGCAGGGCAGTCAGTAATCAGCTCCTGCAAAGAAAATCTGCCTATTCCAAATAATTTTTAGAAAGGAAAGGAGATAGACCAGCAGACTGAGAGAAGAATGAAAGTTAAGTAGGCAAGGCCCACTCTCAGATTACTTTCATCTAACAATATCCTGGAAATCCCTCTGCTTGGCAGCTGGGGCCCAGACACAATCCAGGATAAAAAGTCCATAGAATGGAAAATTTTCACTGGTGCCAGAAACCTTCATTGTACCAGCCTTAATGTTAATAATGTGTGGACAAACAGTAAATAATTTAAATCACAGAATACTAATTATGCGTTTGAGTGTTTCTCATGTCTTCATGGAAATGAGTCAGAGTCTTCTCCATCCTTGCAGCTCCCTGGAGTTCCAGCATGGCTGTGCTGAAATCAGAGCCATTGGGAGACCAACCTGGTCCCCCTGGGCTGGACTGACTGCAGGATTACCAGCACTGATGTGGGGCAGGGACCCTGGCAGAGAGCTGAGAGAGTTATTAACTCCCATTAAAATCCTCTTGAGCAGTCAGATGACCTTGGGCGAATTTAGGGGTGACTCACTGAGTGTTTCCAGGAGTTCAGTTTTGATGGGGAAGCCCAGGCCATGGCAACAACCTTATCAAGAAATAGCTTTCCCCTCCTGCGTCAGGAGGCATCCCAAACAATGTGTTGCCAAACAAATGAGAGTTCTGTTTACAGACACATCAGCAGATGCCGAGCCTTGTTTTCAGAAGTTGTAGCAGTCCAAACAGGTGGCTGGCATATAAATGTTACCATTCTGTCACCTGTGTTTTTACTGACTGATGTATCAAACCCATACAATTTTAGTTCTCTACCAATAAATACAATTTTCTTACTTGGGTCAAATTGGGCAGAGTCAGAATGAAACAAGAATAATTCTTATTGGGTATTGCATATAGCACATGCAGAAGTGCAAATTGGATCATTGTGCCAGACCTCTGCTTATGGTCACTCCCAGCTGACCTATCTGTAAGCTGCTATTTTGGCTCATGACTGAAATGACCAGAGGTTTTGTTGGCTGTATCATTCCTTGGGTGCCTTCATTGGCAGAAATTATTACATCCTGGCTGCTAGGCTTAGACCTCTGCTATTGTATTCTGTGGCATGCATGCTGCTCAGAACCATGAAAGGGCTGGCTCCCGCCTTCCCGTTACATCCTAGGTACCCAGAATGACATAAACATGTTTAAAATTTGTCTGAGATCCTTTTTATGAGTCGATACATTGTTCTGGGGTAGCCCTGGAGGTCAGCCAAACCCATGGTCTACAATGATCCCTGTGGGGGTTGACTCAGGAGGTCACTGTGAGAACAGCTGAGGGTGCAGGAGCCTGTCTCCTCCCAGTGCAGGCAGGCAAATCAATCAGATACAATTCTGCAGAGCACAGAGCAAAAATTGTACATCCTCTGCTCCATGCAGAGCTGAAAATCACAAATAACATTATCAGAGGAGGAAGTTGATGTGGACAGACAGGGTGGATGTTAAAAGCTAGAAAGGTCATGCCAAAAGGCTTAACAGCTTGAGCATACCGTGTTCAATGACTTCTGGCTCACGAAATCGAACCCTCCTCTCTACTTTCCGCTTTTCCCCCACAGCTTGGTCCACAGGTTGCCTTTTCCTCAGTATTGAAGGAGGACAGCTACTGTCATCTGCCTAAAGAGTTGATCAAAACACAAAACACATGGTCATTGAAACAGGGTTAATGTGCCTGGGTGAAGTTCTGAGCTTCTGTGGCTATGTTGTGGCTATGGGTATGTAACACATCTGCTTGGACATTTATAGTCAGACCACTGTGTTATTTATGGCAAGACAATAGGGGTATTCCTTCATTGTCGTAGACATTCAGTACTCTAAAACTGTATTCTCAGGGAAAAGGTTAGTTAAAGTAATGGACAGTAAAGTGTTCAGAAAGCATTTCTCTAAATTGCAGCGAACAGTTGCTGAAGGTGGCTGCTCAACAGCCTTGGGGTAGATGGACAAAAATGTGATATGAAATACATGAACCATATCATTTGGAGAACCTTTGAAATGTTCTGAGCTAAGCAATTCCATTTGGAATGCAGTGCTGCCATTTCAACAACTGGGACTATGCAGCAGAGTTGGGTTTGGACACAATCCCGATGGGTACAAAAAGGTAATTTATTTGCACTTTGATATCGCATTTATGTTGTTGCTCTGGTTTTTGCTTGTAAGCCACAGTTTTTAACAAGAGAATCGTAATGCTGTGAATTCTTTGAAATTACAAGAAACAGAACTGCACTAACAGTAATAAGTCACTCTTCTGTGTAGGAATGCTCCCACAGTCAACTCCCCAAAGTGAATCCAGAGTGAATCAACTCCCCAAAGTGAATCTAAAGTGAATCTCCACCATCCTCTGGAAGTGGAGAGCAGACATCAAATTTTCTATTTTTCAAAGACTCAAGTGTGTGATAGAGATTTTCTGCCTTTAATTTTTAAGATGGAAGTCATCTTCTCCAGCCCTTTCTCCCTACTCCCTCTGTTCCTCTGCTAGGTAAAGGATATTATTTCTGAGATGATTTGTTTGTGCCTTCTGCTCACTGTCCCTGCTCCTTTTTTTTCCCCTTGTGTGTTATTTCCCCACTCAAGGATTGCTTGCTCCTTACTCCATGTTTTTCTTCTTACTTTAATCTTTCTACTCCTCAGTTCTCTACTTGTGTATTTTTTTGGACTCAAATACCCTTGCCTTACCTTTTCTCTTTGGATGCTTTCCCCAAAGTCACCTTTTCACACATCCACTCCTTGGGCTGCAGGAGCAGGATTAGGTGCCATTAACTACAGTCTGGGGGTGTCAGACCCCAGAGTAAAGAAGATAAGCACATTTTCTTATGCATCACTCTCTGAATAACCTCAGAAAGGCACATAGCATAGCCAGCTGGAACTGCCATGGAATGAGGAACATCTTCAGCTTGTTACCTCCTCCTGAGAGATGTATAAACCCACCCTTATTACTGGTAAGGATGCTTTCTCTGATCTTGGGGTCATAACACCTCTGTCTCGTGATCGTGGACAGTGTGTGTTGGAGCTCTGTATTTTTCATTCAGCAGCTCAGAAGCTGGAAGCCTCGTTCAGGATATGGGAAACCTGGATTCAACTTCTTTCCAAGTCCCAAGAAATATAAACCCACATCTCCTGTATACAAGCCCTCACCATCAGAGCTACGGTATGCATATGGGAGCAGGGAATCTCAGTCTCTGCTACTAAGGCCGTCTTGTTTGGCCTTGAATAATTAAATATTCATTGAGCTAAAGAAGGAAAGAATGACTTTACAGCCTGGTGTTTGGGTGCTCTCTTGGGGGTGGCAGAAGTCTGCTCCTATCCTTGCTCCAATGAATACTTAATATGTAATACTTAAATATTCATTGGAGCGGTCACTGGGAACAGGGTCTCTCATCTACCAGGTGAGTACCCTAATCACTCTGCTGCAGCCACACACACACACACATTTACTCACATAATGAATATTTGATTATTCTGTGTAAAATTAAACAGGTTTAGGGAGACACAGCCCAGCTCAGGTTAGAGGTGGTTATAGCTTTATCTGTGTGGGCTCTTCCTGTGGCACTACCAAGGAAACTGAACCTTATATTTGAAAAGATTTATAACTCCAAGTGCAGCTTTTGTCCATATGAGCTTTTCCAAATACTTAACAGCGACACCATGTCAGGAGAGAAAAATATTAAACAACTAGCTGGTTGGGTAGCACGTAGCAAAGGGAGACCTTAAAAAGGAGGTAGTTTTACGATATAAACTAGACTTTAATAACTTATGGAAATCAAAGCTACAGAGTGTCAGAAGAAATAATGCATTCTCCCCTCAGACAGAAACCTGGCATTAACATATCCTGACAAGGGCTGGAAACCTACCAAAGTGATAGTTGTGAAATTATATGACCTTAAAAAAGCCCATTTGTAAAAAGCTTCAGGAGTTGGACACAAGGACTCTATCACCCATCAAAGGGTTACTTACCAGCAGCTCCTCTGCACTAGGACCAGAAGGTGGGACTGGACATATCTGGGACATGTACTCTGGATGCCACCATGAAGCGTCCCACATGAAGCTTTGGAGGGAAAACCACTTGCTCAAGGAAATGAGAAGGAACAGGGAAAAGCGCCTGGAGATCCCTCCACAGTGAGGATGGAGCAGGCAGTGCCACCGAGCAGATGGGACCAGCAACAAATGACAGAGGAGTGGAAAGAAGAGTTTCCGCCCTTCATACCAGTGTTGGTGTGGGAAGGATGACGCTACATGAAATGTACTCAGTAGCCAAAAATAGCACATAGTGATAGTACTGATTGTGCAGCTGGAAAACAGGGCTTTCCTGGCAACAGGGAAGGCCCTGAATGGAACAAATCACAGATAAACACCTACGTTGTTTTTTTCTCTTTTTTCTTTATTTTTTTTTGCATAAATGTGAAATTTAGGCTGGATTTTTATTATAATTTTTACATTTCTGTGATCATGTTGATTTCCTTTTCAGAATCCAATCCCAATCTCAAAAACCTTGCAAGTGGAATTGCTTTTATTCCTTCTTCCATTCAAAATATGTGGGTAAAGACATCAGGAAATTATATAGATGTAGTGGCATCACATATATATATCCCTCCAGTATAGTTATGGCCTCACTTTATATGTTTTACAAATTAAATCCATTATTATAGCAATAAAGTGGGATTTTAACATTTTACATTTCTACAGATATCATAATAAAATTATTGATAGGAAAAGTGGTGATTTACTGTTCAAGAGGCTTTAACAGCCCCTTGTCAAATGCTGAAGGTTGGTCATCATCAAATATACAATTTTTAGTCAGAAATACCTGCCATGACTGCTGAAATATGGTGTTTTACTGTTCCTGCAAGCACAAGCTTGTGCTTTTTTTGTTGTTTGTTTCCTGGAGCTATTTATTTGCTGTGGCATGTCTAAAATACTATGGTGTTTGTTTTTTTTCCAGGTGGTTGGATAGATTCTCCCAGGGCATGCTCAGACCAGCCCTCGTTCTGCACCTACCCAGTTTAGCAAGGGTTGCTAAATGTTGACAGTAGGAATCAGAAGCTCTGTGGGCTTCACTGTTTTAACCTTCTTTCAGGAATCTGGGGAATGGGTTGGGATCCTCCCCCAGAGAAAACTGGGCCAGCATAGTAGAGGAGGCATCTGTGGCTGATGTGGGGTCAGTAGACCCTTCCAGCCTTGCTGGCCTCCTGCAGCTCAGCCTCTGCATGGGTCTGCTGTCCTTCAAGCCCTGCCCTTCTCAGCAGTGGCATCAGTATCAACATGGAGAAGAATAGATTTGAGTGGCCTAGGACTCTTCACTGAATGTACCATATCTAAAAGCCACATGGAAAAAGTTACCTTACCTTCTCTTTCCTGTGCATTGGGGTGATGGAGGGCTTTTCCTCATGCTGAAACCGGCTCACAGCTTGCAGGGCTTGTGAAATGCTCTCAAAATCCCCTCTCTGATGTGTCCTGAAAATGTTTCACAGAAGTTATTTTGGAATATCTAACCTGGCTTTTGGCAGGGAAAAGACATTCTTCAAAATTTTGTTCGTAGTAGATCCTACACAGAAAGGTGACAAACCCTACCAAATCATGGTCCCTGGCTTCTTCTCTGGTTCCTCCTTCCTCTTATTGTGATAATTCCTACTAAGATGGAATTTACCTGCCTGCTTTGGCCAGCAAATCTGATGGAGGTGGGAAGAAGGAAATAAAATTCTGTTCTTCATCTAGCTTTGACTTTCTCCATGGGAATCGTCTCACTTATTTTTACTAGTGTCACCCAGCAAGGCACATAAGAAGGTCTTGTGCAGCCTCTTATTCCTGCAGAGAGTGGCAGTAAACTTTTACACCTGAATGAAAAACCTTGTTCCTGTCTTTTTCACTGAATCTGGTTTTGTTAAAAGAAAAGTCTCACAGTTTTCTAAGCAATTGGTCAAAAACTTTTTGGTAATTTCTCAAAAAACCCCAGGCAGAATAGTTGATGGGAGTAGTTGTTTTCAAGAAATGGACATATGGAGACAACATTTATAATTTTTGATGCCAGAAACCATGTCTTTTCAGTTATAGATTTCCCTTAAATATAAACAAATTTTCTGTTCACTTGATTGAAAAATAATTGGGCAACTTATAAATGTTTTCATTAAAGATTGTTATCTAAATGCCGGGAATGATCATTTCATAGTCCCATTCTCACTTTTGTTCCACATGTGTTATTTATATTGATAGTAATGATTGTAAATGCTTGAATAATTAGTAGTTACCTGGGCACTCAAGTTCCAGTGGATAAAGATGCCAGGAGTTCAAATCTCATAACAGGGACAGCTCCATTCCTACCAACTGCTTTTGATTGCAGTCTAACAACCTAAAATTGGTTATATGTTAGGAATAAAACACAGCTTAATGCACAAAGTAAAAGATTCCAGGAAAATAACTTCACTAGCCTCTAAAATTACTGATAATAAATAACAGTTATGATAGTAGGATGATTTCTGCATTGGAAGCTGGAAGAATTTCCTTTAACATTGCCCTTCTTTTTAAAATAATTTTTCATCTAAACTTTGATCTTATTTCACGCAACATATGCGAGAAGCAAAGCTGGACAAATAATTCATAAATGAATTATTTAGCTTGCGAGTGTCACCTCTATTTCTTTCAGCTAATTGTTCACAAATAGATAGTGACTTTTGTGAATGTATTCATTATTCAGATTTATTCAGTGGATAATTGCTGGGAGTAATTCTTTGTCTGTAGATTGCTTGGAAGCATTTTGCTGTGAACATTCCATAGTAAAAATCTATCCAGGCTTTCAATACATGACAAACTAAAATTATCTATAACTACTGATGCAGTCCTTAAACATGAACAATATACTGCAGTCTTAAAGAGCAACAGGAACATTTTCAGAAAGAACTCCACTACTTCCCATGGTACACAGGAGGGAAAGCAAAGACATTTCAATTTTCTGTGTAGCACCAATGTTGAATGGTGCATATTGTATATGCAAATAAGTTTTCACAAGAAAGGGGTTGCTTATGTGTTTGCTCAGCAGAAAAACAAGACAAGCCTGAACAAAACATGATTGACTTCCCAGAGAATAAATATGAACAATCCACACAAAGGAATTAACTGCATAGCCAGTATTTTTTCTGCAATACCCCAGTGGAAGATATCTAGGAAATAAACATAACATGATAAAACATTTTACACTCGTAGGATAGCTGTGTAACCATATGAACTCTTTTTCCATTTCCTTCTACGGGAATAAATATTTTAGACAAGCAAAGTACTTTGTAAATGATGCCTTTGTGAGGATTCGTCTGGCCCGGTTCAATTATTCTGAAACCCAGCAATTTTCTCATATCATTGAATCTGGTTTTATTGCAAATAGGGTCATAGAAATAGTCACTCATTGCAATAATGGACTTCGTTTATCTTGACTATTAACACTTCCAGTAGGTTTACACACACGTATATATTCAATATTTATGGATATGCACAGTGCATATATATTAATAATGAAGTAACTTTATCTCCAACAATCTGAAAACAAAATCACGTAATACCATACAGTGTGGGGTGCAGTGGTAACTGGAAGCAGCATATCAGGATAACAGAACAGAAAAGGAATAAATAAATTAGAGAGGAGTCTTCCGTATCTTCCTCAACTTCCAGAGTGTCAATTGAGCCTTTGTTCAATATTCCACCTTTCGTGGTCCTGTGTACTCTTGATTAATAATTTAGAGATGCTCCTTTTGGAAGCAAGGTAAGTTTTGTATTTGCCAAGAGTGATTTTCCACTAGTCAGGGAGCACATCGGGAAATAAAAAGGCAAATTGCCCCAGAGAGTATAATTAGCTGCTGTCTTCTTCCTTTTTCTGCCTCTGGAGAAACAGATTTACTGCTGAAAGTTGTGGGATACTCATGAGGTATTGCATGGCACCATTTCTGCTCCTCAACCTTCCAATAAAGAAAGCACTATGTAAATCCCAGCCTCAAGACAAAATTCAGCTCTGTGGACTGCATGTTTCTATTCCACACTCTGAAGGGCCATGATTAATCTGTTGTCTGGTGGTCACTCCAAAATGGGGAGTTTTGGTGTAGTTGGGTAAAATAATAACAAGGCATAATGGAGACAGAGCACTGATTGGAAGATGCTCTGAAAACACTTGGCTGAAAGCAATCAGTTTTTTTTCTGTATATCCATTAATTCCTGTGATGCCCAGAGATCTGTGTATCCAGGTGCATTTTTCCCCAAGGAAGGGCAGTTGTGTTCAGCACAAAGTGCAGCATCAACCGTCCCTGTGGTGTTTTGTGGAGGACCCACAAGGTTATCCTTCCAGTGAGACCTTCTCTCTGCCCTTTAGATATTACTACCCTGTGCTGGAAGTTGTCATGATCACACAGATCTGTAAGTTCCCCTTTGATGCAAGTAGGCAGACCTGGGGCCATTCATCCAGGAACTGTGGGTCTGGATTGCTAATCTTTGCAAAAATTAGATTAGAGATGGTATTATCACATGCAGCCATCTGATCCATCACAACCGAACTCATTTCTGAAGGCAGAACCATGGCTTTATACATGGATGTAGAACCATATAACAGGTTGGAAAAGACCTTTAAGGTCATTGAGTCCAACTGTTAACCTAGCACTGCCAGGCCCACCGCTAAACCATGTCCCCAAGTGCCACATCTAGATATCTTTTAAATACCTCCAGGGACAGTGACTCAACCACTTCCCTGAGCAGTCTGGTTCAATGCTTGATAACCCTTCTTGTGAAGAAATTTTTCCTAATATCCAGCCTAAACCTCCCCTGGTGCAACCTGAGGCCCTCTCACCTAGTTGTATTGCTTGTTACTTGGGAGAAGAGGCCAATACCTGGCTACATCTTTTCAGGTAGTTGTAGAGAGTGAGCCTCATTTTCTACAGTCTAAACTGGAGCAGCTCCCTCAGCTGCTCCTCATAAGACTTGTGCTCCAGACCTTTCCCCAGCTCCATTCCCCTTCTCTGGACACACTGCAGCACCTCAGTGTCTTTCTTGTAGTGAAAGGCCCAAAACTGAACACAGGATTCAAGGTGTGGCCTCACCAGTACTGAGTACAGAGGGACCATGTAGAAGGGCCTTCAGAGTGATAATTGTCTTCCTAGAGCTGTGGCACCAGTTTCAAATCCACAGTGTGCACAGGTTTGTACTGGTTTTGAACTGGGCTCTTTTCTGAGGCAAAGATACAAGCACTGAGCAGAGGAGTTGTAGGGTTTTCCAATATGGTGAGAACATCCCCGCTGCAGGGCACAGCAATCTCTGCTCTATTTGGATTGACTGGAAATGATTTAACTCTGTTAGGAACCTGGTCTCCATTCATCCCTGGCATGAATCCATCGACTTACAAAAGGCATAGATCTGTCTCCATTTCTTAAAATTGCCTCTCTTACTCATGTGTCTTTCCGGATAGATGTTTTAAATAACCACAGAGGACTTGTGATGATATATAGTAAACATAGAGAGAATTTTTGGCTGCTGAAATGAACTTTCTAAATAATTACAGAATGATTCCACATCCATTTCATAATTAGACTCCTGAGATTGCAGCCAAGCTATTATTTGTGATTCAACATGCATTTTTATTTTAGAAATGTCCCATAGCCATAGTTTATTCCACTTGAGGTTTTCTAATTTGTTCTGATCATCCTGTCACTGGGATCTTAAATGTAAAGCATGTATTGATCAAATAAGAGTTACCAAGTAACCAAATGCTAATATCTGCTGTTGGCTCACTGAGTCCAAATCAGCCAGTCCTGTTGGTGTGGAATGTGGGAGATGTACAGGGCTGCAGTGAGCGAGGTCATTCTGAGTTAGGTTTTGTCACACACTTATTATATTTTAGGAACAAAAAGGAGTGGAACTGGAACCTCTGCCTAAAGCATTTGGGCTGCTACTGATGGCAGGGCTGCCATCAGCCATGAGATGAATGAGAAGGAGGAACCCACTGCCAGGAGGCAGACATCTGAGCTGGCATAACAGAGAAAAGGCAAGTAAAGAAACCCCTTTAGAAACAGCAAAAGTGGAATTATCTTCAGGAGTTCCATTTTAGCAGTAATCACTTGGTGTTTACTGTTGTGTTGATTGGGGTTTTCTGTCCATTTTCCTGGGTGAACTTTGGTCTGAGGAGAAATCCAGCTAGGATGACTGCAGGATATAGCCTCAAAAGGGGATTAGTGGTTTTGTCTAAATCCCAGATGTCAAAAGACTCCAATTGAGTGGAGCCACTGTCTGTCCTTAAAGGATTTTAGAAACCTGGCAGCCATTAATGCCAAACTGGCCCTGAGAAGGGCAGCAAGTGGGACTGACAGCAATGGGAAGGGAAGAAGTCAAGGGAATCGCAAAGCACCTAGACACAGGCACTGCTACATAAGATGATTTGAAGGCATTGATGTGAATGCTCTTGAGCTCCATTTGCAGTGTCACCTTGGAAGGGGATTAGATTAGATTAATGACATGAAAGAAGAACAGAAAAATGGAGAAAATAGCAGATTGAAGTGTAAGAAAATCCCAAATGAGTAAAAAAATTCATTAATTGGAAAGAGTTTGCATGGTGATATTGGATGATAAAGATTCTGAAAAGCAAGTGGCAAATCCCTCTGTCATTGGCAGCCACTTTACATTAACATTAAGTCTTTTAATGATGATATTTGTTTTTGTAATTAGCATGTAAGTCTCTCTCCTCCACCTTCCCAAGCCCTGGAGACTGGTGATTTCAGAGTAAAACAAGTCAGTTATTATTATTATTAATTGGTACAATTTCCAAAACTGGCTGAGTGCTTCTGGAGCCTATATTCAATTCCATCTGAATTTAAACTGAGGCAAGGAAAATAAGCAAGGGTAAATTCAGACAGAACATCAAAGAACACTAGTGGGCATCAGACTATACAGATAAGTCAGGCTGAAAGCCAGTTATGTTTTGCACAGGCAAGCTGAAAATTTAAGTTGTACTTTCATTCCAAAGCAGAGCATCCTTTGGCATTTCTGCAGCAGAGTTGGAGGGTCCTACTCACACTAAGACAATTTGTGTCTTACAATGGGGTATCCGAGAGCAGGATGTGCTTTTAGAGTAGAGTGGGAAACCAGGCTCCAGCTTTGATCCCTGGCAGGTTTGAATCAGATCCTTCAAATGCAATGCCCCTAGGATACAGCTTGTTATTAGCTGCCTTATAACAGCTCAGTTCTCCCTCTTTCTCCTCCATTCTCTTCTTCATTCTTATCAGAAATTTGGTCCGGGACCAGGAAACCTCTCAGCTTAAATTAATAAGTTGGTCAGAATCAACTCTGCTTCAAAAAATGCATTTCTTTCCAATGTGGAGCATTTTCATCAGCATATTTTTCATCATCTCAAATGTATGAGCTTTTCAATCAGTTTCTTCAGTGAAACAATGGAAATTATATTGCCTTTTCTTTTAAAGCCAGACAAATGCAAAGGCAAGGAATAAAGCTTCATGGGACAGCTGGGGAGATGCTGAATTAATAATGTCTATTATGTGATTCTGACTACATGACTGTTCCCTGGCAGAGGCAAAACTTTTGGGTACAGAGAGCTAGTTTCATGTCTTATATTCTCTCTTTTGTGCATTATACCCATTCTAGCAAGCATTTCTTGGAGAAGTATTGAGATTGGGGTGTTCTTATACTTCCTAACTTGTGTTAGCATTTCTCCCTGTGTATTGGAAAGCTGAGAAAATATTAGAACCTTTATGGAGCATACTGGGCCAAGAGGCTCTTTCCAGCTCTAAAATGAAGATGATGGAAAGATGATGCCACCATTGCTCCTCCCCAGAAGTTCCCTCCTGCCTCTGTGACACCTCTGAGGCTGCCGAGTGTCACCTTTTACTGACACTCCTGCTTCTGGCAGCCTTTGTCATTTGATGCATGGATATGCCAAAGCTGGGAAATAATGTCAACTTCTTTGATGGTATATTTGACAGTCCAAATCAAAAGGTTATTAGCAAGGGATGATATAAGACTGCTTTACAGATAAGTTGCCTTCTGTTTGACTGTCATATTTTCTTTACAAGTCTTTTTTTGTGCAGCATTTCTAAAAAAAGGTAATAGGATACCTGGTTGTTCCCCACTCCACAGTCAGGGATGCCACTGACTCTAATGAAGAGCTCTAAATGTGGAACCCAGGCAGGATTTCACCTCTGCCACTCACATCTATGGGACTGATGGATCTCCACTAAGTGAGCAAAACTTATCTCTGCACCTTGACTGAGCTGCCTTTCTCCTTATAGCCCTGACAGAATATTGAATCAAATGGAAATTTGTTAGTCCAGGTGTAATGGCATTTTTCTTTTGTTAAGTAAAGCAATAGGAAGCACAAAGACCAGGACAAAGTATTGTTGATCCCAAAACACAGATATCAAGTTTCTTGTGACCAAAGCAATAAGTTTTATTTTTCTCTCTTTAAAGTAACATTATCGTGAGGGACAAAATCTGACTGCAAGGTTGGCACTCTGCTGTCTTGAGCTATGGCTCTACTGGCTTCTGCCAAAAGGACAAGTAATTTCACTGTCACATTCTCACTGCCTGGACTGCTATCATTAGCTTATTAGAAGTGGTGAATTTCTAGCATTTCTGGCACTCCTAATGCACTGACACTTCTGAATAATATACTTGGAATAATCTACTGAGTAATATACTCTGCTTAAAGCACGAGTGAAGAAAGTATCTGTCTACTTCACACTACCTTCTCTTTACACGAATTTTCCTCATATTCAGCCACCTCTACACAGCACTTGGTTCCCATTTCTAAGCCCAGTAGCGAGCCTACTCCTCACCTGTTCCTCCAGCCTCAGGTTGTGCTGGGTGGCTTTGCCTGTCATTTGTCATGGTGGCAGCAAATGCTGAAGACCTGTCTGCAGCCTGCTACCAGACTGATGAGTGATCCAGGTGTTGGGTGCCTCTCCTGTTTCGGATGGGTGGGTATATCAAGAAAGACACGCTTTCTTGAAACCTGCAAATTTTCCTTGGATGCAAAACGTGTTCCTTGTAAAGCATGCACAAAAAGCACATCTGAGACTACAAGTGGAGCCGAGTTCTTTAAACTTAACCCATAGGAAGGTGAATCCTGGAGTCACCACTCTGTCGTGTCTTTCAGGAGGATCTCGTGTGAGCCAGCATCAGTGTTACACAGTGTTACACCAAGAAGTGCTACGCTAATCAAAGCTGAGGGTTTGCATGGCCACAATACACTCTCTGTTCTGTGCTTCCCATTGCTATTTCAGAAAGGACACCTTCAGCTCCTTTGTCTTTGCCAAATACAAATCAAATAACTGCAAGGCAGAAAAATGGCACCACTTCCCTCTTTTTTTTTCTTTTTTTTTTTTTCTTTTTTTTTTCCTCTGGGGATGTGAAACATAAATAAACAATTCAAAGGAGGAATTTGGAGAATTTGGAGCAGGTGGCACCAGTAGTTTTCACCTTTACTTGTCAGTTCAGTGTATCACTCCAGTGCACCAAAAACCTCTCAGACCTCCAAGCTACTGCTTACCCATTTTACAAAACCAAGGCAGAAGATGTCTTGGGGATTAGTTCTCCCAAATCTTGACTCTGCCCAAGAGTACGTGCAGTGGTAGTTCTGGCCCTCCTTTCTAAAATCTTTGCTTTATTTGCTCTCCAAAAAACAAAGTAGCTGCTCCAGGATGAAAATAAAGAACTTTGTAAATTCAGATACTTGTTAAAACCTTTTATTGCAAAATATTCCTGTCTGAATGACCCATTCACTCTAGGTGCCTTATCTGAGCAAAATGGAGTTAAATTCCCAGTCTAGGAATGTCAGGAAAGGAACATAGAGCTTTCCTAATCCACACTGTGTTAAGCAGATCAGACCTGATTTCTGGAGGTAAAGAGGGTTGTTTGGGAACTTAAATGTTGTCTATCTTGCTTTCAACATTCATGAAAAGCAGGCTCTAGGGAAACAGGTTATCATATTGCTTTTATACTGATTCAATTCTAAAAAGTCTGCTAAGAAATTTTATTGCAGCTTCTAATAAGGGTTACTATAGTTCATAAATAATGTGCTCATATTCATAAGTCTTGTTTAAGACCAGAGCTGTACAAGAACTGTAGATACTGGTAAAGAGACTGTTCCTGACCTGAAGTCTATAAACTGAAGGATCAATGCCACTTTACACCAGAAAAAAGATTTGGCCCACAGTTTTCAGAGAGACTGAATACACAACATACGGGAAAAGAAGCCAAGAAGCTGCCACATTTTGAGAGAAACAGGTTAGGCAGTTTAACGACAGAGGCTTTCTGCACACTGGCCTATGCAGGCAACAACACACCTTTTTTTAGACGTACCTGTTGGTCACAATGAAAAACGTAGGCAGCATCTCACGCTGACATATCTAGCTTGGGAGGCCTGCTCAGAAAAATCCTTCATCAGAGCAGCAGCTGTCTCCTTCCCCAGAGCAAATTCCTTTAAAGCTGTCAAAGATGCTGTAATCAGACTAGGTCATCAAAACCAGTCCTCCTGAGGACTGGAAATAAGATCCAGAGATGAGCATTCAGCTACATGGGCAAGGTCTAAATCGCTAAAGTTTCCATTGAAATTAAATGAAGAGACTGTAATTGCTGTGAAAGAAAAGTGAAGCAATCATTGGGAGAGCCTGAAAGCTTTCAAACCACCTCCTGAAATGTGCTGCTGGCTGGAAAGCAGGGATGTATGTACTGCATAACAGAATCTGATAACAGAGCACAGCTTTTACCGGGAAACCAGCTTCGATAACTGGTGGAGCATTTGCCTGTGTGGCTCCTGGAGCTAAGGCAAATTTTAATTGAGATTTTACCACCACACAGTTGAGTAGTTCTATTACCAGGTTAAATAAAAAAGGTTAATAAAATAATAAAAATGGATTCTTTGCCTTCTTGATTTCAAAACACAAAGCTGTGGTCAATATGTTTAATAATTTGTAAATAGAGTGGAACAAAGCACAAATAGCCATGGTGACCATGCAGAGGGGATTGCTATGAAGTTGCATCCACTCTCACACTTGTGCTTGCATTGGCAGTTTTGCAGTTTCCATAAACTATTTGTCAGTAAGGTAAAGCAAATGAACTGAGTTCCTCTCTGGTCCAATGTTTACTGCTGTTACTGGAATTACACCTGGGATAAATTTGGCCCGGACTTGACTAAAGCCAGTCTTGGATAAAATGAAAGGGTATTTGATTTTAGCTGTATTTACAGTATATTGTTTACAGTGTCTCTGATTTTAGGTGATTGATCCTTGCCTCAGGAATAGTATCAGAGTAAACAGATCAAAACTTGTCCTTGTTGCTTGTCCATTGCTCTGGCATCACACCAGATACTGGTTCCCAGCTCTTTCCTACTGCTCAAATTAAAAATAAATAAATAAATGAAATCATGACCATGCATGGTGCAAATATTCTTATAACTAAGAAAAAAATTGGAAATAAACAACCTCTCTCCTAAGTGGGAATAGCTGGGGGAAATCACTGACCAAGCTGCCCATGGGGAAGCAGGCAGTGCCCTGTCTGCTGTGGTGGGCACGGGAGCGGGGACAGGAATGGGGACGGGGAGGGTGCCAGGCTGCCTAAACTGAAAACAGCAGCCAGTATTTAAGGGGGAGGGGAAATCTCTGGAGTAAAGGAAAAAGAAAGTGGAGGCAATATGCTCCACTGAGATTGTGAAAAAAGATAGTTGGAGGAGAGGTTGCTGAAGCACAGGAGGGGTGGAGGTGTGTCATGGAGGTATGAAGATCCCTGGAACTGGAAGACCCTGGAAGAGCAAGGCATGGGGAAAGCTGGTGGAGAAAAGAAGTGGGCAGCAGTCCCAGGAGGTGGATCATAAGCGATATCGAGGACTCTGTTTCCCTTTTCTGATTGCTGTGTTTGTCCAAGTGTCCAAGAATGTTTCACCCAGCTGGCTCTGTACTGCTTTTCCCATCTGTCAGAATGGGAAATAGAGGCACCAGGTTGCAAAGTGACTCGCCCAAGGCCAGACAGAAAAGGAAGTCAACTTAGTGCTCATCCCACCTCCTGAAATTTCCCTGCTACCAGGGACAGGTGACTGCTCTGAGATGCTTCAAGCAAAGGCTTCTGCAGGCTGTGCAGCTCACAGCTATCCAGGGCGAGCACCCTAAAAATAACCAGAGCGTAAAACTTCTGGGAAATGCTGCTATAAATCCTGTAACGCTGAAGAGAAACCCTGGGAAAGTTTTGCAGTGAGGCAGAGCAGAGTATGGAGCAGGTAGCAGAGAGGAATAGCACAATATATAAATCTATGTACTTGCCTGAACACCCACCAAAGGCACTGTGTGTGAGTGAGCTGCAAGGCTTCCTCAGCTGTTTATCCTGGTGAAGGATATTTAACCGCCCAGTCAATTGGCTGAAGCTCAGCTGCAAACACACAGTGCCAAAAGCGCAGGAGATGGAGCCAGTGCAATAAACACAAGGCTGCCTTGATTTTTCTTCTGTGTCTTATATATATGTTCAGAATTCCTGGGACCGAATTATAACCTTAAAGTTGCTTTTCCTTCCTCAAAGGCTTTTTCCCTGAGTTAAGAAATGAGGATCAAAACAACAAGTGTCTTTACTTTGCAACTCTTGTGTCACATTATTCCCATATCAAATCTAGCAGCTTCCAGCCTTCCCAACGCTATAATTAGAGCATCTCCAGATATCAAAATAGCACTGACCCTCACCACAGTGCTGATGTGCCTGCTTTGCAGCTCTTATCTGTCACGCAAAACAGCTCCTTGCCCGTGCAAAGCGGGTGCATGGAGAGGACGGAGGGTTTTTCATTTTGGCTGCACCCAGCTTGCAGCCTGGGTCCACACATCACCACCAGCTTCTGCACACCCTGCCTTGTGTTATGGGAGGCAGACTGCGCACCAGTTTGCCACTGGAATGGGGGAGCTGGGTGAAGTGTGGAGCTGGAGGAAAGGAGAAACTTTAATTTGACATCTCTTCACCCAGGCTGCTTCTTGAATTAGTGCATGAAATTCAGCTCTTTTGTCAACATTATGTTCAGGTTTGATATATAGGAACATTCAGGCAGGCTGGGGCTGGCTGTACAGACTGCTGATTTAGGGAGAGCTGAGACCCCAGGATGAATTAATATAGCCTTGTTTCCTTCACTGAGAGCTGGGAAGTACCTATCACATCCCACACTCCCTCCAAGGTCTGGGATGAGAGGAAGGAACAGAGGGTTTCCCCTCAAGCAAGGATTGCCATCCTGTGGGTGGATGGGCTAAATTTGCCCTCAATCTGTTTTGTACAGTTAGGTGTATTCAAAGTGCTCTCAGCATTTTGCTGAGTTTCATTTCGAGGAATTTATCCTCCTTAGTAAATGGAATAAGCAGCCAGGAGAGGGGTAGGCAGTCACAGAGAGCCCCATCCTCAGCCCATTCTAAGAGCTCTAAACCAGATGAGATAATAGCTCCCTCCGGGGATGCTTTCTCCAGGGAGCCACGATGGCTACTTTAGATCAGATACCTGACTTTTACGTAGCTGAGAAGACACATGGACTGGGTGGGGGGGAACGGGTTAGTGCAGGAGCCAGTGTCTGTGGTTTCATTGCTGACTGCACATCGTATTCAGCTGCTTTGGGAACTGCTGGCTCTGGAGTTCAAGTGCTCTGAAAACTAGGCACAGACCAGAATTTCTGCTTATTTCCCACCATGCTTATCACACATGACCTACCATGCTGTAAAGGCAGCATCCCCTTCCTTTCTCTCCTGATCCTTCCCACGCTCACCAGCCCAAACTGGAAAAGCTGCAAGAAGAAAATTTACCAGAAGTTACAGCAGAAGGTTCAGCTCCTCTTTGTGTCAGCAACTGGCAAAACCACGCTCATCTGGATGGAGTAAAAGCATGAGCACTTTCACTCTATTTAGGATTTCCCCCACTCCAGGAAATACTTTCTCTCACTAACTGCAAAGTCAGGATTCAGCTGCTCTTGTATCTGAGCACAGCTGAGAACATCACCCCAGGCTCCCACAACTGTCAAGGGAGATAAACGAGTGCTTTTAGGAGCAATTCATCCACCCTAATTTAAATGTCTACGTAAGCTGCAGGTGACTCCTGTCCTGTAGGTGCCTGTTCCTCTCTCCATAGCCGAGAGGACTGGATCTGATGTACCTTCACCCAGACAGCAGGATCACACCTACCCTATGCTAAGGCAGAGAAAATTTCATGTCTTCAAGGCCAGAATGCCATTTTTGTACATATTGCTGGGAGGCAGGGGAGAGGGAGATCTCTTTGGGATGACCTTGAACTGAATGTCAGTTCTCTATTGTGAGTTTGTTGGGCTGCAAGGGGAAAGGCAAGGAGGGGTTGTGCTGAAGGGAAAACTGACCCTCATGTTGAAGCCTCAGTGCAGAAATATGCAGGTGAGCTGTATATGGCCTGCACCAGCACCTATTTACACCTCTCTCTCTGTTACTGTGTTTCAGAGAGTTAATTTTAAACAAACCAAGGCTCTTTCACCCGTTCTGAAGCCCCTCTTTGTTTATCAGAACATAACTTACATTTTCTTTTACGTTTATGGGAGGTTTGAGTTTCCATGTATGTCAGCAGTGCACAGAACCAACATCTGAGTGGGTGAAGTGGAATTTTGATTTACTGGAGGAGAGTGCATTATCAGTAAATTCAAGAGACTAAATCTGCCATGGAGAGGACTTCTTTTGTTTCCATCATCAAGTCAGACATTATATCCTGTCAAACATCCCAAGGGGCACTTTTGCTCCAGGCACCAGAGGTAATAACTCAGCTCAGAAATTCACTGTATGTTCAAGTCTACATCTTACAAAGCATTCAACTCTTGTTCAACTGCAGGATGGAAGCAAAAGAGAATAAATATAGGAATTAATCCTTAGTCTTGCCAGCCCTGTGATAGCTCTTGCTTTTTTCAGTGCAGGCTGTGAGGTTTTTAATCTGAACTTTTTCTCTTGGTGTGATCCCGTGGCTGAGGGTGTTGGTGTGGGTCACTTGCTCATAATGTTCAATATGATTAATATTAAATATGCTCAGCTCTACTGGTGTCTGTGGAGAGCCACCGAGTCACCTCTGCAACACATCTGTTCTTTCACCAGGAGTGCTCATTTGCTGTAAGCCTCCTTTTTTTTTTTTCTTATGAAGTCAATGAGACCTGTAGTGCAGGAAATTACCTCAGACAACAGCCTGCAGTAAACATACAGGAGTGTTATCCCTTCTGCTTTTTCTAATGCCCCTGTGTATTCTTTCTGCTCTTGACAGAGGTCTGGTGACCAACAGCATCATTTAGTGACTGATTATTGACTCTATTTCAGGCTTCACAGGTCACTGAATCACAGAAAGGCTTGGACTGGAAGGGACCTTGAAGACCATCTAGTTCCACCCTCCCTGCCATGGGCAGGGACACTTTCCACCAACCTTCAAGGTTGCTCCAAGCCCCATCCAACCTGGCCTTGAACACTCACAGGCTCT